ATAAATAATGGGTTATCCACACTTTTTTTTTTTAATTTATTTTAAGTAAGAACGAATGTTTAGTGGTCGTTCTATTCAGTCTTAACTACCAACACACTTGAGGTTTCCGTAAATGGTTTTCGCATCCCCTCAAAAAAACAAATATTGGAATGTCTACACATCGTTATTTATTTTAAAATATATCGTTATTATTATTATTATTATTATTATTGTTTGTTTACCAATGTTTCGCATATTCGTCATGTTACCATCCGATGGATACAGTAAAATTATATAAGTGCTCGCCTATTGTAAAGTATGTATACATATTACTGTATGGAATTTTTCAGGAACCAAATATCACACAGATCTGAAGGATAACGCGTACAAAACGTACATGAAACTGACGATAATATCGGTAACGTTGTCCGATTACGGCACGTACCAGTGTGTTTCGAAAAACTCATTGGGCGACACAGACGGCACTATTAAGCTTTACGGTACGTTCATGCAGATTAATATGTACGTATACGTAGATTATAATCATAATTTTTTATTGCGAAAAGAGAAATGTATGCATACAAAACAAATATACATCCATTTAATATGCTCAACTTAATCTTTAAGGTAGGTTTGTATATATTTTAATTTCAAATTTGTGTGTATGATAAATTCTTTACTTTTGCTGATACTTTTCGTGTAGTTAGATCTTGGATATATATATAAATATAATTAGGTACTCAAGGTACTGTWCTAAAAAATAAATTAAATTGCTTCAATGTTTCATCAAAAACATATTTTACAATATCTATCATAAGTGGAATAGGTAAATTGTTTTGTCATAAATTATTTAACAACCTATTCATTTCGTAATACATAGATTTTATACAAATAATTTTAYGAATAAATTATTACTAAATACTTAATCACATTATGTATAAAACAGTAACACTTCATTAAAATTTTGAAAATTAAAATTAATATATTAATATCTTGTGTCACTATATAAATAAAAGAAAAGTGGGCATCATTCTGCTGTATATTCGAGATGGAGAGTAGGTCACTATAATAGATGTGTTAAATTTAAATGCGATGACAGGTATTATTGTACATGAAAAACGATTCTGAACGGAGATGATTTTTCAGTCTAGGATATATTATATACTACCTATATTTTAAATAATAATATATTTTATACACTCGCAAAAACTATAAAAAAAAGTTATGGAGAACCTTGGTTGGATTTTTTAATCTAAAGTATAAATCACAATTTTATAAATTTTGAATTCACAATTCCATGAAAATTTTCGTGATTTTTACATATTTCGTTAACATTTGAATTTT